TCTGGAAATAAGTAAAGGAACAGTGTGATAAAGTGATGTTCCCTTATTTGTCTCCCTCAGTATATCTATTAAAACCAGCCTTAGTGTTACAGTGAAAGTTATTGTGCTGTTGTAGTGAAGCTTTGCTAAAATGTTTGATAAGTGCATTCCGAGGTTAATAGGAAAATAATGATAGACGACATGCAGTTGAAACATCTCAGTTGAAGTTTAGGGGGCAAGGGAAATGTAGAATCTCAGGTAGTGGCAGTATGACTCCACTTATGTCAGCATGTCGGAATACAGACTTTGTGCACAGGAAGTTAAGAACATCTGATTCTTTCATATTACTATAGTTAATCTGTCATGCCATGACAGATTAACCATACTGGCAGTAATATGAAAGAATCTGGTGTTCTTTAACTTCTTTTGAGTAGTATATATTGTATAGGTATGGGTGGCTCAGTTGTTTAAGGGGGCGGTCGGGTAGCCTAGTGGTTAAAGCGTTAGCTTGTCACACCAAAGACCGAGTTTGATTACATGGGTTCAGTGTGTGAAGCCAATTTTTAGTGTCCCCTGACGTGATATTGCTGGAATATTGCTAAAAGCGGCGTAAAAGCATACTCACTCACTCACTCACTCACTCACTCACTCACTCACTCTAGAATGTCAACGCTCAGTCACTCACTCTAGAATGTCAACGCCGCAGAATAATTGGTCTCGGTTATCTGCAGAACAGATTCCGTTGGGCATAAAAGGTAAAGTATCAGTGAAAATTATGAGTGGATCATTTAAAATTTGTGTGACACCAGCTGTTTGCAAAAAGGGTAATTCTCATTTTGATCCCGAGAGAGATATGTAGTAATGCTCAAAGCATGTGTTGCTAGGATACAATGGGTGTTTTGGCATGCAGACGGAAGTGGATTCTCCATATGAGGTGACCGCATGGCTACATCTTCCTACACGATGGTCATGCCCACATATACTACTCAAAAGAAGTTAAAGAACTCTTGATTCTTTTATATACTACAGTTAATCTGTCATGGTAGTCGTGTATTTGATTTCCTCTGTGATAAGTGGTGTTGATGATTAGTAGTACACTTGCCGTCCATGTCCAACAGTTGTACTCCGACCCATGTGATTACATGACATTCCACTCTTTTCCTTTTCAGTTACTGCTTGAAGTAATTGAGAAGTTACTAAGCACTTGTGATGTAATACCAGATGTGTACTAATAAATATATTTTCAGTTAACAAGCTCCACATTTAATGTAGAAATCAATTTATTTTTTACAGCCTGCACCATGATATATTATTGTTATATCATACATTTATATACTGCAGGTATCCAGGTATAATATCTGCTCAAATGCAGATATACTAATAAAAAAAGTTAAAGAACACAATTATTTCATGTCACTGTAGTTAATCTGTCATTGCATGACAATTCTTTCATATGACTATTACAGATTAAATGTAGTTATATGAAACAAATCAAGTGTTTTTCTACTTCTTTTAAGTAGTATATACACTGTGCTAGCTGATTATTGTTCCTGCATAAGTGGTTGCATCATTTCCAAATTTAGAAATAGAATGTTTCAGTAAGGCTGAAAAAAAAAAAAATTCTTTTCTCAGGCACCGCCCGCACCATTAAAAATTTTGCATCACGTTTCGTTCTTTATTTCAATTTCAATTTTTTAAAATAAATCCTTAAATATTCCAAGTCCATCAGTAGTCAAATACTGTATTCCAGTCCTTTACTCATCAAGGAATACATTTATGTCGGGAGGACCTTTCCCAGGTTGGTTGTACACAATTGTTTATTAATTACACAACTGTATATTGGTTACATACTGGTTTGAACAACCCCAAAAAAGAAGACACTGCCCACACTATATTTTCAAAAGACATTGCCTGAGAATCAATTCTTTCATTTTTTTAAGCCTAAGTTGTCCTTTTTTACACATCCCCAATGTTTCAGGGTAATTTTTCAGTAAGTTTGCTCCAGAATTATTCCTCGTAATCTGTTGTATAATTTTCTGTGTAAATGAATACCTCCTTAAGATCAAACGTTAAACCACTGTTTCTGTTCTACTCTATACTTCTACATCTTCACCATGCATCTTATTTTCAATTCTAAATACATATGGTCACGCATTTAAGCAGCATTTATTTCAAAAATCATTTTATTGTCACATATATCTCATCCCTCCATCAGAAACCAAACTATAAACATGCAAGGTTGACAGCGACATACTTTCTAGTGAGAAAAGTCAGATACAACTTTTGATATGACAGTTGTAATTTTGATATTTGTGTGTGTGTGTGTGTCTTTAAGGTAATCCATATGTGCTTCTATGTGTAGTTGGCAATCACCTGTGGTAGTATCCCACTCCAGTATTGTTCTTGTTTCAGATGACCCTTCCAGTATACATGTAAGCTGTCTCAATCTGTGGTATGGCTCATTGGTCAACTGTAGAGACCATTGTCATTACTTTGTGAGAGCCTTACAACTTACTAATGTCATAGGAAATAAAGGAGAACATATCAACAGTTCTTTGTTGTAATTGATGTTTATATTTTTATTTTTGCTGTGTAATGGATCATCAAAAGATGAATTTTGTTGTTGGGATTCAAAGACAATAACCCTCGTTGGAATTCCGGGTCAGAATTGGTTCCCAGCAACCTGTGCTGGTTGTATCAGGTGAACAAATGGATTGGTTGGTCATATTCGGTGACTTGGTGATGGTGTGCTAACTATATTAATGACTAGATTGTCTGGTCCAGACTTGATTGTGTACAGATCAACTTCATTAAGCTGCAATATTGCTGAGTGCTGGGTTAAGCAACACACATCACACAAAAACATAGACACACACAATCATACTTATAGATGTTGTTATGGTATTTCAGTATGTTTATATATAAATGAGTATATATATATATAAATATAAATATGTTCAATTCACACTTATGTTTAACAACAAATATAATTAATCTTTACTACATTATTTACACTAAACAATCTACTGTAGGAGATAAATCACTCCAAACCATAGTTCAACATAAGTCAAATTAACATCCCACTGTCAACATGGTCATTAAACGAAAAAGTTCTTGTCTTTTCTTTAAAATACCTCTACATAATATATATTACACATTGTTCTACATTATGTGGACGGACCATGCAATGCATCATTTATCAATTCTACTTGGAATTTCGGTGTGGACAGTTGGGTTTAACACCGCTTTTAACAGAGTTCCAGTTATATCACTGTGTGTCAGCTTAATGAGGGAGGAAAGCCCAAAGTGATGCAGCTCTAAGATGTTTCCACTTCAGTGAAACCCACGAGCATGGGTATGGTGCTGACAAACCTAGAAACATAATCGAGGCGAACCGGGATTCGAACCCACAATCATAGGTTTCCGGCGTGCCCAATGGACGCAACTTTGCACAGCGAATCTCGCCACCTTAGACGACTGGGCCACTCGTGCCCCCAGATAAAAAAAGAGGAAGAACTAGGTGTAACATGACAATCAACAGAACATGGGGGTGTATTGTAAGCGCCCAAACAACCAAGAAAGACGAGGAAACATTTGAGGTGATCAGTAATCGGTCATGCCATCATGATTGTCCAAACATCCGTTTACACGGCATGGAGTGGTCCAAATCATCTCACAATGACAATTTGAGGGACTCCACTCCACCCCTCTTGTCACTCCAGGGCCAGTTGGGCTAACGTTGCTGGTGGCCTTTGACGTCGGCGTACACGTCTCCCGACCATGTCCGTGACGTGCTTTATGGAGGAAAGATGAGGACTCAATGTCTGGCCATCGCATTCTGGGGATGTGCTGCTGCTACAATACGTGCACAGTGAGCACGAGCTTTAACATCTTGAAAGACGAAACGTGGACCAGCATGGTGAGATTATGCTGTTTATTAGTAAAGAAAAAAAGCTTTGATTGTAAAAAAACTGATAACAACCTTATTCGAACATCTTAATATTGATATAACATTGTATCCATATAGTTATGTGTTGATCGTTGAACTATGAGATACAACAATAGCCGTATATACTGTGACGTGGTATTCATACAACACACCCAAGGTACCTGATGTATGCAAAAGGTGAATACTGGTACTGAAACCACCCCCATTTAATGCAAGCAATTAATATCTTTATTCTTTATACCACAATCTCACCATTATCAACTCTATGTGGAATCCTGATGAGGCAATCTCAGTAACTCTCTATCCACTTTGTCTTCGTATTATCAGATAATTATAATTAAGAATTAAACGACGAGTGGGAGTTGTTTATCGAACAATAAAACACTGCAGGGAGAACATATGAGATATCAACATTATGTACAGCCTCTTTAAGGATGTAAGTAAAAAGTACATGCTTTAAAAATATTTACCCGTATTTAAATAATGATGACTCCCTGAATAGAATCCGACTGCGACAATGTCGGAAGCGTTTATTTTATGAACAGGGTTGTTTGGTTGGTTTTTTGTTTAACGCCACACTCCAGCAATATTCCAGCTATATGACGGCGGTCTGTAAATAATCGAGCCTGACCACCCGATCCCGTTATTCGCCTTTTACGAACAAGCATAGTCGCGTTTTACGGCAAGCATGGGTTGCTGAAGATCTATTCTACCCCGGATCTTCACGGGTCGATAATTAGGACATAAACGTACTGTGTTTTGAAATTAAATGTAGATATCTATTTATACACATGAAACCTCGCGCTAAAGGGTTCTGTTCCAAATTAAAATAAGAGGTATCTAATATACTGTTTAACTACACTTAATTTCAAAAACCAATAGTTTAACTACAAAATGAAAGTTTTCTTGAGGTTTTAATACATGTGTAGCAGAAGGTTTTTTTGGTCTCACAGCAATCCACAGCAAGCCACCATATCATCATACTATATCTGTAGTGCACGTCTATGCTGGTGATTGACGTGCACTACAAAGTCTTATCTGAAATTATCAGGCCAGTCTTACTTCGTCTATGAATCACTACCAGTTAGTACATATTTGAAATTTTATACTACGTGGGCAACCACACGTAATAATTCACTGTCAAGACTAGACGAGACCAGTTCACTCGAAACTGTTGTTCAAGCACAGTGATTCATTGAAGGTAAATTATTCAGTTAGTTTATTATGTTGTACGTTTTCACGTCAGCGTGTGTGCATGGTTCACTACAAATCGTGTGTGCATCCCAGTTTATGTGACAAGAACAAATAGGTCATTCCCATACCCAAGACACATCAGTGTGAATGTTTGGGAAATATTGTCTATATAATATATGGGTAACGCTATCTTTCAGGGCCTAGATTTTCGAAACGATCTTAGCTAGGATAAATCTTAACAACTTACGTTCAAGGATAAGATATCTTAGGTTAAGATAAGATAAATTTTCGAAACTATCGTAAACCTGTCGCAGATCGTTCAGAGTTACGATACTTATCGTAACTCTGACAGAGAACTCATTTGTGTTAGAGGTCGAAAAAGCGGGTGTTTCCCAATGACGTCATGGGGATTTCCCAGCTGCTGACATTAACAACAACATAGATAAATGATACGGAATTCATGATCACATTGTCAGGTCACATTGTTTAACACGCACATATTTGAGTGAAAGTCTGTACAATCCAACATATGTTCTACATGTAGACGTGTTGTTCTCTTATGATAAAAGATGCCATGACTAAACGAACACAAAAAGCATTCGTGTGCCAAAAAATGTTATAATCAATAAGTATAGTGTTACCACACTTTAGCTATTAGAATGGAAATAATGTGCCAAAAGATACTTCACTATTTTCCCTTCAAATGGTCCTCTCGTGACCGCGCAGAACTTATTGATAAAAACACATCGCGTACAAAGTCAAGGCGAGAGTGCTTTTTACAGATGAAAGTCGGTTCTGTCTGTTCAGGAACGATGGCAGAGTTCGAGTTTTTCGACGAATGGGAGAGCGACTGGCGCCAAACTGCATTAGAGAAGTTCACCCGTTTGGAGGTGGAGGCGTCATGGTATGGGGTGGCATTTGTGGCCAGATTACAACACGGCTGGTTATCATCCGAGGAAACCTGAATGCTCAGCGATACAGGGATGAAGTGTTGAGACCTGTTGTGGTGCCCTTTATTCAACATCAGCCAAGAGGATTAATTTTGCAACAAGACAACGCAAGGCCTCACACCGCCCGAATTGTTCAAGACTACCTGAACATCAGCCAAGAGGATTAATTTTGCAACAAGACAACGCAAGGCCTCACACCGCCCGAATTGTTCAAGACTACCTGAACATCAGCCAAGAGGATTAATTTTGCAACAAGACAACGCAAGGCCTCACACCGCCCGAATTGTTCAAGACTACCTGAACATCAGCCAAGAGGATTAATTTTGCAACAAGACAACGCAAGGCCTCACACCGCCCGAATTGTTCAAGACTACCTGAACATCAGCCAAGAGGATTAATTTTGCAACAAGACAACGCAAGGCCTCACACCGCCCGAATTGTTCAAGACTACCTGAACATCAGCCAAGAGGATTAATTTTGCAACAAGACAACGCAAGGCCTCACAACGCCCGAATTGTTCAAGACTACCTGAACATCAGCCAAGAGGATTAATTTTGCAACAAGACAACGCAAGGCCTCACAACGCCCGAATTGTTCAAGACTACCTGAACATCAGCCAAGAGGATTAATTTTGCAACAAGACAACGCAAGGCCTCACAACGCCCGAATTGTTCAAGACTACCTGAACATCAGCCAAGAGGATTAATTTTGCAACAAGACAACGCAAGGCCTCACAACGCCCGAATTGTTCAAGACTACCTGAACATCAGCCAAGAGGATTAATTTTGCAACAAGACAACGCAAGGCCTCACACCGCCCGAATTGTTCAAGACTACCTGAACATCAGCCAAGAGGATTAATTTTGCAACAAGACAACGCAAAACCTCACACCGCCCGAATTGTTCAAGACTACCTGAACATCAGCCAAGAGGATTAATTTTGCAACAAGACAACGCAAGGCCTCACACCGCCCGAATTGTTCAAGACTACCTGAACATCAGCCAAGAGGATTAATTTTGCAACAAGACAACGCAAGGCCTCACAACGCCCGAATTGTTCAAGACTACCTGAACATCAGCCAAGAGGATTAATTTTGTAACAAGACAACGCAAGGCCTCACACCGCCCGAATTGTTCAAGACTACCTGAACATCAGCCAAGAGGATTAATTTTGTAACAAGACAACGCAAGGCCTCACAACGCCCGAATTGTTCAAGACTACCTGAACATCAGCCAAGAGGATTAATTTTGTAACAAGACAACGCAAGGCCTCACAACGCCCGAATTGTTCAAGACTACCTGAACATCAGCCAAGAGGATTAATTTTGTAACAAGACAACGCAAGGCCTCACAACGCCCGAATTGTTCAAGACTACCTGAACATCAGCCAAGAGGATTAATTTTGTAACAAGACAACGCAAGGCCTCACAACGCCCGAATTGTTCAAGACTACCTGAACATCAGCCAAGAGGATTAATTTTGTAACAAGACAACGCAAGGCCTCACAACGCCCGAATTGTTCAAGACTACCTGAACATCAGCCAAGAGGATTAATTTTGTAACAAGACAACGCAAGGCCTCACAACGCCCGAATTGTTCAAGACTACCTGAACATCAGCCAAGAGGATTAATTTTGTAACAAGACAACGCAAGGCCTCACAACGCCCGAATTGTTCAAGACTACCTGAACATCAGCCAAGAGGATTAATTTTGTAACAAGACAACGCAAGGCCTCACAACGCCCGAATTGTTCAAGACTACCTGAACATCAGCCAAGAGGATTAATTTTGTAACAAGACAACGCAAGGCCTCACAACGCCCGAATTGTTCAAGACTACCTGAACATCAGCCAAGAGGATTAATTTTGTAACAAGACAACGCAAGGCCTCACAACGCCCGAATTGTTCAAGACTACCTGAACATCAGCCAAGAGGATTAATTTTGTAACAAGACAACGCAAGGCCTCACAACGCCCGAATTGTTCAAGACTACCTGAACATCAGCCAAGAGGATTAATTTTGTAACAAGACAACGCAAGGCCTCACAACGCCCGAATTGTTCAAGACTACCTGAACATCAGCCAAGAGGATTAATTTTGTAACAAGACAACGCAAGGCCTCACAACGCCCGAATTGTTCAAGACTACCTGAACATCAGCCAAGAGGATTAATTTTGTAACAAGACAACGCAAGGCCTCACAACGCCCGAATTGTTCAAGACTACCTGAACATCAGCCAAGAGGATTAATTTTGTAACAAGACAACGCAAGGCCTCACAACGCCCGAATTGTTCAAGACTACCTGAACATCAGCCAAGAGGATTAATTTTGTAACAAGACAACGCAAGGCCTCACAACGCCCGAATTGTTCAAGACTACCTGAACATCAGCCAAGAGGATTAATTTTGTAACAAGACAACGCAAGGCCTCACAACGCCCGAATTGTTCAAGACTACCTGAACATCAGCCAAGAGGATTAATGTTGTAACAAGACAACGCAAGGCCTCACAACGCTCGAATTGTTCAAGACTACCTGAACAACGCTAACGTCAACCTATTGCCCTGGCCACCTTGTTCTCCAGACATGATCCCCATTAAACATCTCTGGGATCATCTTGATCGTCAGCTGAGACAACATGTACCGCCTCCAGCGAACCGACAGGAACTTGAACAGACTCTATTGAACTTATGGAAAAGGATTCCCGTTGACGTTATCCGCCGACTGACGACGTCAATGAGGAGGCGTGTGTTGGCGTGCATGGATGCCCAGGGTGGTCACACTCGCTATTGATGACGTGTTACCTGACTACTGTGTCATTATTGGACTCTTCATGCACTTTTTCAATGAACTCTGATTTTGTGTAATTTTTAATTTGGACTCCTTGACTCTTTCTTTGTGTATTGCGGAGAATGTAATATCGGCATTACAATGAATTTTCATTCTAATTCATGGAAAATGATTTCTGTTTATAAATTAATCACCATAAATCTCACATATGCCTTTGTTTTTGGTGTTTGGTCAAGTGAAGTCGGTGAAAACTTTCTTTTGCCCGGTAGTAAGGACAGAGGGGAATATAGGGATAACATACATGCAGTTACAGAATAGAGCGGAATATAGGGATAAAATACATGTATGGACAGAATAGAGTGGAATATAGGGATAAAAATAGATATACTGAGAGAATAGAGTGGAATATAGGGATAAAATACATGTAGTGACAGAATAGAGTGAAATAGAGGGGAAAAAACACATTTTGTGACTTTATAGAGTGAAATATAGGGATAAAATACATGTAGTGACAGAATAGAGTGAAGTATAGGGATTAAATACATGTAGTGACAGAATAGAGTGAAGTATAGGGATTAAATACATGTAGTGACAGAATAGAGTGAAGTATAGGGATTAAATACATGTAGTGACAGAATAGAGTGAAGTATAGGGATTAAATACATGTAGTGACAGAATAGAGTGAAGTATAGGGATTAAATACATGTAGTGACAGAATAGAGTGAAGTATAGGGATTAAATACATGTAGTGACAGAATAGAGTGAAGTATAGGGATTAAATACATGTAGTGACAGAATAGAGTGAAGTATAGGGATTAAATACATGTAGTGACAGAATAGAGTGAAGTATAGGGATTAAATACATGTAGTGACAGAATAGAGTGAAGTATAGGGATTAAATACATGTAGTGACAGAATAGAGTGAAGTATAGGGATTAAATACATGTAGTGACAGAATAGAGTGAAGTATAGGGATTAAATACATGTAGTGACAGAATAGAGTGAAGTATAGGGATTAAATACATGTAGTGACAGAATAGAGTGAAGTATAGGGATTAAATACATGTAGTGACAGAATAGAGTGAAGTATAGGGATTAAATACATGTAGTGACAGAATAGAGTGAAGTATAGGGATTAAATACATGTAGTGACAGAATAGAGTTGAAAATAGGGATAACAATTATTTCGTGACAGATTAGAGTTGAATATAGGGAATAAATACATACACTGAGAGAATAGAGTGCAAAATATAGGAATACAATACACGTTTT